AATATAAATTATGATACTAATATAAGAATTCATGTGTACATAAATACATACGTACATACGAATGTACAGTACGTACGTATCAGGTATGCAAGTAAACCTGTCATGTACGTACGTATGTACAGTACAGTATGTTATGTGCTTGAGAAAGCGAAGACGTGAGAATTATAATGTTTTAAAAGTACAATACATACTGTACATTTGCAGGTAAAACGTGATTTTCGCATAATTCCAATTTGGTTAATTTATTTATTTATATATATATTTTTTTTAAACAAAAAAAAATCGATTTCAAGATTTACAAATTATTAGAGATATTGGTAATCTGATACCATGAAACTGATCACGAAACATAGTTTCTGCCGTTTTACGTCATGATATTACGATTGACTTTGTGCGTAATTATATGATTTTTTAAAAAAGGAATTTGAGTACAGTGATCGATTTTAAAAAAATTGATTGGATGATTTTATCAATTATCGTATATTATATATATAAAGATATATACGTATTTTATTCCATATGCGAAAAAAAAAAAACTGTAAAATTTGAACTAAATTGGTTTTTCATAAAAATGGAAAAGTTTCAATGTGTTATAATTTTTTTTTTAAAAAAAAAGAAAAATCCGATTATTTAAGACTCTTAACCATAAATTTATTTATTTATTCATTTATTGATTTTATCGTTATCTATGATTTACTTATTGATTTATTTTTAGAATGCAATGAAAACTAATTACAGAATACAAAAATATTAATAATGCTTTTTAAAAATCATATATGTATGTACGTACGTATCGGTATGTATAACGATAAAAAAAAAAAATCCCCACTTCGGTAGCCTGATAGAGTTGTACAATGACATCAAAATATTGTCCGACAAAAATGATCATTATTAACAGATTTTTAGAATACGTACAGTATAATTTCATACGTATAATCTTTTTAAATTTGCCATACACGTAATCTTTAAAAATCTTGCCAAATAAAGATATGATTAAACATTTATCAAATGAAAAAAAAAGGAAATTACCAATGAAAATAAACCTATGCAATCACTAAATAATAAATTCTACGTAAAATGGATTCTGATAGAATAATTATAATTATAATTTAATGTCCCAATTGATCCATTCGTTGAAAGTGCCATCATCCTGTTCACATAATCCAAAAGACATTAGATTAGACATGTCTTGGATTCCCAAACCAGAAACAAAACCATTATTCCCATTTGATGATTCATTAAATAGATTAAAATTAGGTGTTGATGCTAACATAGGTGCAGTAGTAGTTATTAACGTAGGATCAATAATTTGCAAAGTATTATTAAAGATGGGGGGTTGTCCTATTGCATTTGAATTTGAAATGCATTGCTGCTGATGCTGTAGCTGTCGTTGTTGTAGCTGTCGTTGCTGTAGCTGTCGTTGCTGTAGCTGTCGTTGCTGTAACTGTCGTTGATGTGACAAATTATTAATGAATAATTGTGGTTGAGATTGAATTTGAGATCTCAAGTGATGTAATTGATGATTATTATTAATTGGGATGTGAACTGGTGACGGTCTTTGTGCATTTCGTGCATAAGATATATTAGAAACATGGTGAGTTAATGAAGGAACGGATGAATGATTATTAAAGTTGTTGTGTATGGCATTTGCAGTTTGAAATTGTTGGTTCTGTAATTGATGATGATGGTGTATCTGCGTTGGAATACGTTGATTATGTTGATTATGTTGATTATGTTGTTGATTATGTAGGTTATGTTGTTCGATAGAGCGATCGTTATATCCAATAATCGAAGGTAAATTCGATTCTTTAATATTCGACAATCTAGACGAAGATTTGTTCGGTGATGAAGGCGTTGACGAAGCCAAAGATGAAGTTGATGATTGTGATGGAGAAAGTTGTGGTAAACGCATCGAATTTACATTTACGATAGATGATGATGATGTTGATGATGTTGATGATGTTGATGTTGATGGATGTAAAACGTTAATATCTTGAGAATATTGAACAGAAATAAGCGAATTCTTATTTATCTGATGTTG